CCTTATATAAGCTATATAAATATCAATAGGCTTAGACAGCACTATAGTTTCTATGTGAATTGATGGATATAGTCCTAGCGTTGTAGCAATGCACTTCATTGGCTGTATTGATATATCGGTGGATTTAAAACTAATATTATCCAATTTAGAATTGTCCAGAAACTTCCATAATTTTAAAAAGCTTTATCTATGGCATTTTAAAGTAGATTTTTATGGGATAACTTTTAAATTTTAACTTTATTATTTATCTGTCTGATTTTATAGGGCCCTTAACTCGGTATAACTATATCGGTACAGTTATGGATGGTCTCCCCGGGGCTCCTTGATTAGAAGAAAAAGGATTCTAATTATGGCATTTGTTGAAGATTTTTATCGTATTTGAAAAAAAATAATTAGATAAGTTTTTACACAAGTTTCGAACAGGTTATTAAATTTTATCTAGAATGTTCCAGAAAGTTCTAAATTGTTCCAAAGGGAAATGTAGTGGGATCTAAGGGAATATTGAAATGTTAGTTAGTTCTATTCATACTGTCTCGGAGTTTACTTTTCTCTCATTAACACTGAGTAATTTTTTATATTCGGAATAGAAACAAATGGGTCGGGATCGCATCATAATCTTTATCCCAATGGGATCAGGATCCCACCAGAAAACGGGATCCCACCAGGATCGGGATCCTAACCTTGAATGGATCCACCGGGATCGGGATCACACCGGCAAATGGGACTGCGCCGAGATCGGTGTCAGAAATGGGATCGGGGGTCCAACCAGGATGGGGTCCTATGCAATCCCAGGCCACGCCGGGTATATCGGCTAGTATATATATATACATATATACGTAGGCAGTAACCCATTGCATGATGTCGTAAAACACATTCTCAATTTCGTTCCGACAAACCATAATTTATGGGTATTTAGTGTAGCATTGATTTAAAAACAAAAACAAACAACAATTGTTCTACCAAAAATGACGTCACGCATCTGGAGGGGGATGATTTGGGGGAGGGTCATCAGTTTGTGAAAACCCGTGATGATAACATAGGAGGGTCGGCCCGGGGGGGGGGGGTGTGAAACTGTCCAAAATAACGTGATGTCAAATTATGGAAGGCCCTGAATCCCAAACTCCATGGGAACAGAGCCAAAAGGGGGTGGGGGTTGTTGGTTTATATTATGTGATACATCACGGGGCTTTGACGTATTGTAGACCAAACTTTTCAAAGAATACGTTGAGTGAAATGTTGAATCCCCGAGATGAACAAGACCGATATGTCATGTATGATGTTAACGTTAAGGTTTCATTAGAGACATATGAAACATACAAGAGCATACCACATATAGCGTATACTATGTATGCATAGTGGTACAGCTCAACGCACGGCGATCTATTTAGGACATTGTGGTGGATGGAAACCACTAGATCGTTGTTGCTGCCGCTAGATTTAGCACCAAAGTTTAGACCGCTGGGCCCCGCTATACTATAATGAAGTTGATTTACTTCAAATCGTGATATTCTTCATCATTATTAAGATCATTATTATTATTATTTTTTATTTTTTAAAATTTTTTTTTTGAAGTCTAACAGAAATGGCGGATCTGGTCACAAATTAATGGGAAACTGCAGAAAAACCAGAAAATCCGCTCAAAACAAAATCCCCTTCCCCCCCCCCCCCCCCCCCCCCCCCATGTCAGGCGCCGCCCGCAACTGGGAGAAAAAGCTGCCTGGTTGGTCGACTCCCGCGTTTTCGGGGTGGAGCCAAGCTCGGTCACATGGACTTTCACGTGCTCTTCAGTATTGACCGTCACCGGGCCGCTCGCGCTCTTGCACACGCTGTCCGAACGGCCCGTCGGGAACATTCGATCGTCTGCTTGGAGGTATGCTCTCCTCACACGTGCTAGAACGTGAGTTCAAAAGGTCACTGCGATCGGGGGGGTGGGGTGGGGGTGGGGGCAGCCGGCGTGCGAGGCGACTCATCCGAAGGGTCGGCGTGTCTCGCAATGTGAGGGTCCTTGACTGGGACCCTTGCTGACTACGTCGTTATTTTGGTCGCAGATGGTAACGCCAACAGCAACCCTAATTCTGAAGTCAGTGGGTGAAAAAAAAAATTTCTAAAAAAAAATTAACAAATCTTTGTTAAAAAACTAAAAGAACATAAATCATGCGACACGTTACAGGAAGCGCTGGCTCATTCGCCATCTTAAGAATATCTACGAATACTGACGCATTTGACTGGCATTTATTTAGAGGTTGTGGGAAGTTATAGATTACGACATTTTAATAATATACAGGCCGATTTAGTAAAATTTTATAGTTGCATATCATCCTTATTTTAATCTCGGTTGCGCACAGGCCGAGTGCAGGGTGAGCAATAAGTAGTTTGGTGAGGGAGCGTGGGGGAGACGTGAGGGAGACGTGAGGGGTGTGGGGAAATCGTCTTCTTCCTAAAGGTGTGCTGATTGTTTAAAAACATCAAAGACAGGAGTTCTATCAGGCTTTGTCATTTCTCAGACCGGAAAACTTCATAGCGTACTATTTTTAGAAGGTCGGCGGACAAATATTGCTTAAAACATGGCAGCTTATAGCGTGTTTCAGCATACCGTTCAGACGATCCTTGTATCTAGAGTTACTGTTACATACGCCGTTCGCGCAATGGAGTCCCATTTCAGAAAATAGAAGTAACAAAAAAAAAATGTGTAAAATATTTCGTAAAATAGAGTTGTAAACAAGTTTCAGGGACACTCTGCTAACATAGTAATACTGAACAGTGGTGGCATTTTGTCCGCGCTGAGTACCCGGATGATGAGTAATGATGACATCAGTTCTATTAATAGATTTCCGCCATTTAAATGACAAGCCAATGTCTGTTAGGTGACTCCCAGAAGTGAGCGTCCGTGAGGCAGCCTAGAGAGTTGTGTCCCTTCTCCGTTTGTTTTGTTTGTTTGTTTGTTTGTTTTGTTGAAAAGGCCCTGGCAGTTGCCCAGCCAATCATTTTTTTTGTGGGGGGTGGGGGGGATAAAAATTGTACCGTTGCTGTGAAACCTGTGAATAGCACACATTACTAATCTTTAGAATATAAGAAATACTCATAACGGGGATTTTTAGATTTTTAAAAAAAATTTTAAATTAAAAAAAAACTTGAGTTATTAGAGCCAGCACGTCTTGAAAGACACCTTTTAAGCTGAGATTCATTCTCAAGATAAGAAGATGAAATACCCTATTTGCGACAGATTCATTCTCAAGATAAGAAGATGAAATACCCTATTTGCGACATGTTTATTAGGTTAAAGGAAACTTGTTGTGGGTAGTGTCGACGAGGAACATAGAATTAACAATATGGTCGATGGAAATTTAAAAAACAAACAAACAAACAAAAAATGCAGACATTTCAGACTGGTAAACTACAAGTCAAGAATACTTATACTCGATGCATCAGATAACATGGGAGATAACTCGGCCCTCTAGTATTATCCCACCAGGACGTCCAGAGTAGTCCTTCCTGCTAATTGTATTAACGTGACTTGTTTCAATACGTAAGTCACCACGAAGTCGTGTGCAAAATTAGGGGCTTGAGCAAAAGTCTGCCTACATACAGATTAAATAGCAATCGACAGTTAGGAGACAACGCGCTTCTTTCAGTTGTTGGATATATTTTATTGATAAAGATAATCTTTTTGTTGTTGTTGTTGTTGTTGTTGCGACATCAGTCAGATATAACATTTGCAGCACTTGCATTTGTAAACAGCGTATTAGTTTAGAGAAATTACTCTTTTGTGTTTTAACAAATAAATAATTAGCTCAATTATTATGATAATAGATCCGTTTTCAGCGCTCACATTTTTTAAATAACTTTTTTAATAGTTGACTAAAGACTGCACCGCCAGTGAAGATTCAAAGTGGAGAATCTATTGGAAACGAAGTGGGACACCTTTTCATATAAATAACATTCGTTTAGTTGGGATAAACATAAGAATATGGAGAAGGAGTTATCCACGAAATGTCCCAAACGAGTTTACATCAAACAGTTTCCGACGAAATCAAAGCTGAATAAAATATTGTCGTCGTACAGGCAGAAAGATGGCGGGGAGTTTCCTTCGAAGTGGAAGGAAGGAGACATGCTGTGGGCTAAGATCAGGGGCTTTCCCTTCTGGCCTTGTATGGTTACAAGGGATCCTTACTACAACCTGTACTGTCGGGTATTTGGTGAGTAGAAGTGAACTGTAAGTTGTTGGTGAGCAGAGTTATGCGAAGTGTATGTTGTTGGTAGGTAGATGTGAACAAGTATAGTTCTGGTGAGTAGATTTGAACTGTATGTTGGTGAATTGATGTGAACTGTATGAGTATGTTGTTGGTGAGTAGATATGTGAACTGTAAAGTATGTTGTTGGTGAGTAGATTTAAACTGTAACGTATGTTGTTGGTGAGTAGATTTAGATTTAAACTGTAAAGTATGTTGCTGGTGAGTAGATTTAAACTGTAAAGTATGTTGTTGGTGAGTAGATGTGAACTTTATGTTGTTGGTGAATTGATGTAAACTGTATATTGTTGGTGAGTAAATGTGAAATTTATGTTGTTGGTGAGTAGATGTGAACTACATTTTTAAAAGTAGATGTGAACTGCATGTTGTTGGTGAGTAGATGTGAACTGTATGTTGTTGGTGAATAGATCTAGAACTGCATCTTGTTGGTGAATAGATGTAGAACTGTATGTTGTTGGTGAGTAGATGTGAACTGTATGTTGTTGGTGAATAGATCTAGAACTGCATCTTGTTGGTAAATAGATGTAGAACTGTATGTTGTTGGTGAGGAGATGTGAGCTGTATGTTGCTGGTGAAAGATTTATATAGTTTTCCATGTGATGTAAATGTATGGGCACCCATTAAATACCTCTAGTTATAGAACTGATTGCCATAATGCCACTATTTCTTTATATTTTCTTAGCATAGTTTTGAAGTTAATTTTGGTGGAAACTTTTAATCCAATCTTCTATCCTCTTTCTGCATCCCATTGAAGGTTCTACCAAAATATCAACTGCCTACCATGTTCAGTTTTTTGGAACAGGCACAGAGCGAAGTTGGGTCAATGAATCCTCGGTCATGGAGTTTCGAGGGAGAGAGCAATTCATTGACATTGTCCAGTATGGCCTTGAAGACCCTTTCACATATTGCAGGCCAGTGGGAGATTTCAAGATAAGCAATACTTGGCTTCCATCTTGGAACATGGCAGTGGCAGAGGCCGAAAGGGCGGCAGCATTATCGTCTGTTGCCAGGAGAGAGCAATACACATTCCAGTATGTCCTTGTTAAAGGTGAGAAAAAACAGTGTGTCAGCACGCTGATGGAAAATATATGGAAACATTCATGTGACCAGAAAGGATTGGGAGAAAATGATAATGATGATATTTATGACAGTTTCCTCAGCTGGGATCGGGAAAGACCTTATTACAACTCAGATGATTTTTACAGCTCAAGTGACGATGATGACAAGCCGCAGAAACACCCAGTGAAGATTGCTGTGAGAGAGGGAAGTTTGCAAGTTTTCCTGACTAAGACCACACAATTTGTGGAAAAGGAGCATCCAGATTGGAGCAGTGTCGAGATTTCAAAATATTTGGAGTTTCAGTGGTCAATGATGTCCTACATTGACAAGTGTCGCTACACATCTCGGTATCAAAAGCCAGTTTATGTAGACGCTCGGCAATACACTCACCAGGTAGAAACTTTAAGATCCACAACTTTTTAAAGATAATTTTTGTTTTAAAAATGTGGAAGAAAGTGTATTTTTTAGTATGTAAGGTGTGATGTTGACAATGAGGTAAGAAATCTTTACATTATATTATTACGATATAGGTATTCCATAAATAATAATATGAGGTAGCAAGTAATTAATAATATTTATACTCCTGATGCCAAAAAAGTTTTAAAATGTATAAATATTTAATGTTTAATTCCTTGGCATGACTTGTTGATTTCTATTTGTAGGGAACCAGAAGTCTAGAAGCGGTTGACCTAAATACTCTTGATTTGCAAATACAGAAGTTGTCCAGAAAGAAGGCCAGTGGAGTGCTGGATGAACCGATTTGTTTACTTTGTGAAAAAACTGGCACAGCATTAAAGCTTTGTGAAGGGGAGTGCAGACAATTTTTCCACACAGACTGTGTAAAGGTCAGGGACAAGTTCCTGTGTAGAGAGTGTTGTTCTGGTGAGTTTGATTGGTTGCGCATTTGCAGGTTGCCCTAATTAATTATTCATTATCTTAGCTCACACTAAGCCAGAAGTACAATTTATGTTTATTAATTTTTATATTTAAAAAAATACTTTCCTTTAATATTAATTTGAAAAAGTGAATGTTTAGCTTTTTGTTTTAATAGAGATTTTTTACAAGCAAGAAAAATCGGATTATTGCTGGAATTTTTTTTTTATACATTGTCTTAGGGAAAGTTATATTAAAGTTTGATAATGACTTAAAAGGTCTATGACTCTTGATTTTATATTTATATCGGAGCCATCATTTGCCTAAATGCATGTTGAGTTGTTATCCCCCCTGTAACAGGTCTGCACTGCTGCTTCAAATGTAAACAGTCTGATGGTGAAATAAAGAAGTGTGCTGACAAAAGCTGTAGGAAGTTTTATCATGAAAGCTGTTTATCAGATTTGAAATGTACCCGGTGGGTAAAAGCAGGATTTATCTGTCCCTTACATGCATGTGCTACATGCAGTATGCAAGATGTTGAGGGATGTGATCAAGATGCTGATGGTATGGTTTAATAAGACAATGTTAAGAGGTTAAACATTTTTTAACATTTTTTATTCTATACTATACAGTAAATATCTTTCATGTTGCAAACGTAAATTTCCATGAACTATTTGACATGGCATTGTCATAACTTAGGAATAATCCAAACTGTCATAGAAATATTTATGATGCTCAATAGCTAATTATTTGTTTGCAACATATTTGCTAGAAATAACCTGCAAAACAATGGCAGTGGCAATGCATGAAATTCCAACTAAAATTACTTGACAAAACATGCCTTTAAGTAGCGAACCTGATTTAATTTGATTTCTGTAAATAAAACAAATCTCACCATCATTGTTTTTAAGACTACCATTTTGAAATATTAATTTTATCTTGCGCTGCTATTGAACACAAATTTACAAGCAGTTTAGAGAACTTTTTTGGGGAATTCTATTTTTCAGAGATGTCATGTAGAAAAATCACATAACAATTAGCACATATAATTTCTGATGTTTTTGAGTTACACAGTTAGGAATCTATTTTAATATGGCTCAACTGAAATTCACATTTGATTAACATTTTAGACAAGGAAAATGAGAAAAATTAAAAAATTCACAGAAAATTTAAATTTATATTAAAAAATAGGATTTATTGTCTTAGGAATTTATTTAGTACTTCACTCATTCATCTCATTGATAAACAGTTTTTTCCAGTTTCAATCATGTGTCCTAAATAATGTTACAGCATAAAAATTAACCTCATGTAATATGTCTATTAAGTATTTATGGTTATGCAAAGAAATACTAGTAGTTAATGTTTAAAAAATTCAAAATGAACAATATCCATTCATGATACTCAATAGTGTAGTGTCTCATGACTCATTGTACTTGTCTTGTTTCTTGTACCAGGTAAATTAATGCAGTGTGTTAGATGTCCAGTGGCATATCATGCTAGTGACTGGTGTATAGTGGCTGGGAGCCAGGAACTGAATGGACAGCTGCTGGTATGCAGCGGACATTTCAAAGCTGTTAAGGGGAATTCCCTCCATTCAAGAGTCAACCTGAAGAGATGTTTTCATTGTGGATATGGTGAGAATGCTAACTGTATTCATCTATAACAGTGCTTTCCAAATTATCTGACTTCATGACAGATTAGTGTGTCACCTGCAGGGTGTAGGTGTGTCATGAGCCATACCAACATTCATGCACTTTTAGACGTAAGAAAATTCTGAAAAAAATTAAGAAAGTAATGGAAAAGTTGTGAAAATTATACATTCTATTAAAAGCACACATCTTGAATCAAGATTATTTTACTAATTTTTGAAAAATTTGAAAAGAACTGATGCACAATATTATAATAGTAAAAACTGCAGCATTTGATTTGAGATTTCAGAAACGAATATTTACTGTCGTTATGACTATTTTTCCCCAGGTGGAAGATTGCAGTTGTGCCAGACTTGTCCGGCAGCATATCATGCAGAGTGTTGCGGTCAGTCAACCAAGAAAGTGTTGGTCAAAAAATCCAAACTGACCCCTATTGCCAGAGAGGGTCTAGGAAAAGGGAGGCAACCCAGTGAGTCCTGGTTGTGTGGAGACTGCGAGCAGGGTCGCAGGCCACTTTATGGAGATATCGTTTGGATCAAGCTGGGGTTCTACAGGTGAGTATGGCAAGGTGTACTATAATGGATCTCACCTAAAGCTGGGATTTTACAGGTGAGTATGGCAAGGTGTACTATCATGGATCTCACCTAAAGCTGGGATTTTACAGGTGAGTATGGCGAGGTGTACTATCATGGATCTCACCTAAAGCTGGGATTTTATAGGTGAGTATGGCAAGGTGTACTATCATGGATCTCACCTAAAGCTGGGATTTTATAGGTGAGTATGGCAAGGTGTACTATCATGGATCTCACCTAAAGCTGGGATTTTACAGGTGAGTATGGCAAGGTGTACTATCATGGATCTTAGCTAAAGCTGGGATTTTATAGCTGAGTATGGCAAGGTGTACTATCATGGATCTTAGCTAAAGCTGGGATTTTATAGGTGAATATGGCAAGGTGTACTATCATGGATCTCACCTAAAGCTGGGATTTTACAGGTGAGTATGGCAAGGTGTACTATCATGGATCTCACCTAAAGCTGGGATTTTACAGGTGAGTATGGCAAGGTGTACTATCATGGATCTCACCTAAAGCTGGGATTTTATAGGTGAGTATGGCAAGGTGTACCATCATGGATCTCACCTAAACCTGGGATTTTATAGGTGAGTATGGCAAGGTGTACTATCATGGATCACACCTAAAGCTGGGATTTTATAGGTGAGTATTGTAAGGTGTACTATCATGGATCTCACCTAAAGCTGGGATTTTACAGGTGAGTATGGCAAGGTGTACCATCATGGATCTCACCTAAACCTGGGATTTTGTAGGTGAGTATGGCAAGGTGTACTATCATGGATCTCACCTAAAGCTGGGATTTTATCGGTGAGTATGGCAAGGTGTACCATCATGGATCTCACCTAATGCTGGGATTTTATCGGTGAGTATGGCAAGGTATACCATCATGGATCTCACCTAAAGCTGGGATTTTATAGGTGAGTATGGCAAGGTGTACTATCATGGATCTCAGAGAAAGGCTGCAGGGCTTTTCTTGTTGTCATGGTTGATTTGGGAAGAAATTTATTTTAGTAGCAATAACCCTTCAGATTTTTTTAGAATGACTTTTTGTTTTGGGTTTTTTTTTGGTTGTGGTAAAAAGACATTTAAATCATGTTCATGGGTTCCTCCAAAAATGTAATGAAATAATATAGTTTCTCTAACTATAGAAGTTAAAGAACCATTGGTTTGCAAATTGTAAATGTATTTTTGCCAGAAAGGCCACAAAATGTTTATCTGTCTTTTATGATTGCGCAAGTTATTCTTACTGCAGATGGTGGCCAGGTGAAGTATGTCATCCATTTTACACCCCTGAGAAAGTTCAACGCAAGGCTCACCAGGTTGGTGAGTTTCCAGTAAGATTCTTCGGATCACTTGATTTTGCATGGATTCATAAAGGAAGGTTAGTGAAAAATACTGGGGGGAAAAGTTGGAAGGGAATGATCTTCTGGAAAAAATTTTAAAAACATTTACAGGGTTGCACCAATTTGAGTTGCTCAGACTAAAATATTTTCGTTGGGGTGGAAGCAACCAATTTAGAAAGTAAAGATCTTGATCTTTATTGTGATATCAATCTGGTTTGGGTTTAATATTTATGTAACAGATATACGTTTTGAAAATTTGGGTTGGGTATTTAAAATTATTTTACAAAAGTTTTGTGCTTTTTTTGTTCTAATTCATCATTATACAGCATGCACACCCACATCTTCCAATTAACGATACAATTACCAATGTATAATAAATATTAGTTACTGTACTTTTGCAGTGAAGTATTTTTAACAAGGGAAATAATTGTGAATTGAGTGTCTTAATATACGTTTCTGTCTGATTCATTATTGACATCAGTTAATTGCAGTGGAGTGCTATGGTTAAAAATGGACACAGGTACTCATCAATATGTAAATGATGATTTTTTAAAATTATTTGCATGTTTAAAATAAAATTTAACAAAAAAATTGTTCTCTAAAAGGTTTCAAATGTTCATCCATGTATCTTTCTGGTTTAATATTTATCTACTATATACATTGCAAAAAATATCTGTTTGTACTGTTTTTGTTTCTACATTCATTAATGGATCAAACGTGTGATAAATATTTAATTCACTTCATTATCTAGAATGAAATGCTGATGGGTTTGAATTTGAAAAAGAAATAATCCTATTCCGTGTTGAAGCCCCAAATTTCATAATGAGCTTAATCAATATAATTTCATAAAAGAGTTTTAAACAATTTTTTTTTTAGGAGTTCTAAATTGTTCGAAGTTGGTATAAAGATTATGAAAATTTAAATGGGATCTAAAAGTTTATGGAAAGTTTAGTTCAGTTTCTCTACTTTCTTGGGAATTTCCTTGGTATCAATTAATATACCTTTTTTAAGTTTCTTGAAGTTTTTACCTTTTATTGTAGAATGTTAGATTTTTTATAAGAGCTTTGTTTTTGTTTCTATAAGTCTTATGGTTTTTCTCAAATTTTATGAAATCAGAATTAAATGATTTTTTTGAAGTTTCTAGAAAGTTTCAAGTAGGAGATTCTACAAAGTAATTTCCTTGTAATAGCCAAAACTATTCATAAAGGTTTAGGTTACAATGCAAGATTCAACATAAATTGTTGCATCGAGGCTAAACTAAACTTTGTAAACATACCTTTCATAATGCCTTTAAAATATCTCTTGATTTGAAACTAATAATATACACCTCTTTTTGTGCAGATTTGGGGGCCTCCTAATTTAATATCAATAAAACACTTTATCTTTGGCGTTTTTCAACTGACTTTAATGGGACAATTTGAAAATAAAGTTTGTTTGTTATCAACCTAAAATACTCACTGCTGTAGAATATTAAGGATTAATTTCTTTTGAGGGACACCAATAGTAAAAATTATAAAGGCATCTTTGGAAATACTAAAAGATCCTAATTTATTTTAATTTTGGCATTGATTAATACCCTTTTAAACAAATTTTTTTTATATATTTGTTTTTGGCTGCGCCCAGCTTGAATATTAATTGAAAAGGGATGGCTGTTGAATTCAATGTTTACAAGAATTATTATATTATAAATATGGCTTTTTATAGGAGAAAATTAGGTAATTTAGTGAAGTTGTTTTGATTGGGCCATAGATTTACGTGCTGGCTGAGAACACTTTAGAAATACAAACTTGAGAAAAGCCTGGTACACTGGCTAGTTAATAATGTCATATTTTATTATTGGTACGGCTACAGGCATTGACAATAATCATAACAGGCCTAGCCATAGGAATAATTGATGCATTTACTTAGGATCTAAGTGACAAGTGACTGACAGATTTTATCTTTGACAGCTTACCATTTTATTGACATGGTATTTTTATATCTTCTTTCTGCTAGTGAAATAGCGGAGTGGTGGGAGAAGTGACTGTAGTAGTCTAAGTAGTTTTAGTAGTCTTAGTGTGACACATATGGCAAATAGTGGAATGAATCATGTTTTTCATGGCAATTATTGAAAGCTAACCTATTTTAATGAGTATTTACTGAGTTAGTATTTTATCTCAAAACTTATTCTTTGTGACAAATAACATAAAAAAAATCAAAATTAGGAAGATGACAAGCATGGGCGCCCGCAGAAAACTTTATAGGGGGGGGGGGGGCAAAAAAATCAATTAACTTTCC